TTTGACTGTGTGGACCACAGCAAACTATGCCAAGTCCTTAAAGAAATGGGAGTGCCTGAACACCTTATCTATCTCCTGAGAAATCTGTACATGGGACAGGAATCAACAGTTAGAACTGGATATGGAACAACTGATTGGTTCAAAATTGGGAAAGAAGTATGACAAGGCTGTATACTGTCCCCCAGCTTAAGGAAATCAACCCTGAGTGCTCACTGGAAGGACAGATCCTGAAGCTGAGGCTCCAATACTTTGGCCATCTCATAAGAGAAGACTCCCTGGAAACGACCCTGATGTTAGGAAACTATGAAGGCAAGAGGAGAACGGGACGACAGAGGATGAGATGGTTGGACAGTGTCACCGAAGCTACCAACATGAATCTGACCCAACTCTGGGAGGCAGTGGAAGACAGGAGGGGCTGGCGTGCTCTGGTCCATGGGGTCACGAAGAGTCGGACACGACTAAACAAGAACATGTGTAGATACACACGGATATACTATGATGCAGTATGGGAATAAGGCATAAATAAGGTATAAGATCTCCTGTAGTCAGAAATTATATAATAGATAAGTTGGTATGGGAAATACCTCCCTGCTTATATGTTTTGTTTGTCTTATGTGTTCTTGATTGTCTTGTAGGTATTTGTTTGGTCTGTCTGTCTGTCTGTCTGTCTCAAAAATAATATTTATTTTAAAAAAACAACATTTTCATAATTTGCACTTTAAAAAGGAGGCTGGTTTAAAACACTGTAAGTAAAATCTTCTCTGATTATTAAATTTACGATTCTAATATTTATTTACTGGGATTATTTTATTATACTTTATAATATTAACTTACTCTTGTTTTAGTTTGGTGCATGAAACCTGCCTTTTAATAAATATTTAGAATGATGATGTGAGAATGCCTTAAACAGACTAAAACAAATGACTCAAATGCTGAAATTAAACTTTCAATAGAAAAAAATCCAAAGGATTACAAAATAAAACACAACAGTTTACCTTTTTGAGTCTCTTGCAAGGACAACGGATCTTGACCTTTTGGTTGCAATTCTGGGGACAGTCACCTGGATGGCAGATTTCTTTGCATCGATGACCGCAAGACAGCTATAACAGGGGAGAAATGTTGGTGTGAAATGAAACAAAAATCCATCAACTGAACATGCTACAGAAGACCACTAAATAAAAACACAGATTTTGCTCAAAGTTTGAGGTTGAAGTGTGCGTCCTTCTTCTCCTCTACCAGAAGGAATAAACCAACATTTAGCTTATTTTTCCCTGTTCCTAGCTTATGGTTACCTGATTATCAGGAAAATAATCTCTAGTTTGTTGAACAAACTAAATGCATAACAGTGGCTAGTTGGTTTAAGTTACCTTTCCTAGTAGGTCGCTAGAGTTTATTATAAATCACAATTCATGGTTCATGCACACCAATAAGGCATGAACTGGGAGAATTCATGCATGGGAAAGGAAGCATTAAGATGAGTCCAAGCTTCCATATGGGTTTCCAGAAGCTTATGCATGTGAGGCAAAATAATGGTTCAACCCAGCCAATATATCAAAGCAAATTTTGTCCACTAAGTAAGATTCTTATTTCAGATTTCTCAGAAGATCATTAACTTCTCCAGCAATGAATTTTGTTTCATGCTTCACTCTGAAATGAACACAGAGATGTCCCTGTAAACTGTTTCCTAATATTTTAAACAATTTTAAAAAATATACAGTTGTGCCTCGCTAGATGATTACCTCGCAACACGGTTTATTCGCAAGACAATGAGTTTTTGCAATTGCTATAGTGCTTCGCAAAACGGTTTTTCCTATGGGCAATTTTCGCTGGACGTTGTTTCGGTCCATGCTTTGCAAGACCGTTTTTTTCGGGACTGTTTTCCACAAGATGACTATTTTGACAGCCGAGTCTGCGCTTCGCAAAACGGGTGTTTCCGGGACCATTTTTCCCAAGGTGACAATTTTGACAGCTGATCCGCGCTTCACAAAACGGTTTTTGCAAGACAACGACTATTTTCCCCACTGGAACGCATTAAATGGATTTCAATGCATTCCAATGGGGAACCGCATTTCGCAAGATGATGTTTTCGCGAAACAGCAATTTTCGTGGAACGAATTAACACTGTCTTGTGAGGCACCACTGTAGGCCTGTTTCTCACATCTAGTTCCCTCTAAATGTAGTTACCATATTTTTCCGTTTATAACATGACCCTGTTTATAAGAAACCCCCCCACACACTTTTCTAACCCCCAAATTAAGAAAATTCAGCCTCTGGGTTCAGAGTGTCGATTTTGAGTCCCTGTTGAATCTGAGCCTGCAGGCTCCACCTCCAATGAGGTGTGTTCCAGTTGGTTTGTGCAGCATCAGCTGACGTCAGTTCTACAAGGCTCATGACTGGAGGAAGCTAAGTCTCCTGACTGTAGGAAGCTAACCCTTGTGACTAAAGGAAGCCTGTTTACAGAGGCAAGATATGTGCCATTTTGTTCTCTCCTCAGCTATCTCAGCATACTTCCATGTAAAAGACGCTCCATAATTTTTAGTGTAATAATTTTAGGAAAAAGTAGCATCTTATACACGGAGAAATACGGTATACATTAATACACTGAGGAAACTATTGTGTTACACAATACTTAATGGGCAAAATCCTGTTGCATAGTGTTTCACTGATGAAACATCAGATCTGGTGCTAGAAATACTTAATTTAAACCAACTGAAAGCTTCATATCTCCCCATCCTTTGAGGTTCTGAGGCCCCCTATGCCTCTCTAAATAAAAACAGGGAAGCCTTTGGGAGCATTGGGATAGGGCGAATATGTCTTTATTAGTAAAAATAAATAAATAAAAAGATCACTACCAGATCACCCAATCCCAGCATTAGTGTTCCAGTGGTGGTTTTTGGCTTTTAAAGGCTCTCCTGGCATCCTGAGGTCCCCAAAGACTTTCCCACGGCAAAAGGCAGCCTCAGAACATGAAAGCAGGGGTCGGGGGGGGGGAAGAGGAAGCTTTCAATTAGTTTTATTAAATATTTCTTGTGTTAGATCTGGTTTACATCAGTGTAACTTTATGCAACAGTATTTTGCACAACATTTTATGAAATTATCCAGATGGACCTATACAAGGACTTTCAAGTTCTTGAGTTTTAGAAGAGTAGTATCTATCTGTCTCTTTTGCTCTGAAATTTATATGTAAGCAGCAATGATATATTTAATGCACATTTCTTTCTAAAAGTTTTTGATTCTATGGGCTGATTTACACAGGGTTCTTGTTTGTATAACTATGTCCTGCAGAAATATTTTTAAAAACTAATTAGATGTCTTGGTAGTTCCAAAAACCAAAAAAAGAAGTTATTATAGTCATATATAGTTTTAAAAATATGTATTTAGTTGGATAGCTTTAAAAAGTGATTACTTACTCTTCTAATTTTTCAAAAATAACTAAGGCATTTTCATTTTTGTTACTTAAAACAACAACACCTACAATCTTAATTCCTACCAAGTCAGAACCAACATGTAGTGACCCTAATAGGGCTTTCAAAGTAAGTGAGATCGTTAAGGAATGATTTTACCAGTTCCACCCCCCAGTGAGTTTCCATGCCTGAGTGAGGATTCAAATCAGGCCTCCTTAGTCCTAGTCTATTACTCTACCCACTACACTAACTGGGTATCAATTTCTAATTACAGTACCAATATATTTACCCTTCCTGTATTAGAATCATAACCTTTTCCTGTCCTAAGAGACATAAATTTCCCAGTTTAATATATGTTGTATATTTCTGCCTATATCTAAAAATGACGTATTTATAAAGCTAAATAGCATTGCAATAAACAGGATCTAGCAAATGTAGGCCAGTTTCTAGGCAAATTAGATTAACTATGTGAACTGCATATGCATTTAAGAAATTATACAAGGCACTTGGTTCCTGTAACAAAAAAGTCACATGTAAAATGTTGATGTTTCTGAATATCTAGGCAATAATGAAATTTGTTTGCTCCCTGAAGGAAAGGGAAACATAACACAAACAAAAGTAACACTTGTAGCAGGCAATGGAAACTCTTTCTGTGGTATTTACTGTTGTACTGTGGCCAAAATAACAGTCTAAAAACTTGCCAAGAGTCAAGATAAATTCAGTTATTTAAAAAACTTAAGAAAGGAAAAGTACCAGGCTGTCATAGAACATCTTCTAAAGCTATTTAATTCAATTTTGGGTGGTGAAGAAATACCAGAGTCATGACATACGGCCAGAATATGATGGTACATTAGTCAGCAGAAAATGATCAGCAATCCCACACTGCATATACAGAAATATAATTTTCATTTTTTAGAAGACATAATTAACGGCAGCATTTAACCTAAAAAACCATTATAGTGGACATCAGCAAATATATTTTACAGAAAGTGCAGTGAAAGGGAAGAGATAAGGAGAAGGGCAGGAAACTGGAAGAGAATTCTAGCTAATCTTATTACCACAATCTCCACCTATATTTACAATCTGTTCATGCGAGCAATATAATGTAGGAAGAGCTGAACTTTCAGAAGACCACAGCCCTCATTCCATAGAAAGGTGAGGGGGAGGAGAAGGATATGATTTTTCTGTCCAACAGGAACTCAATGTTCCCTGTGCTTGTAGCTCCCATCTTACATAGCTCATAGGCAAGCAGTTTTCAAAGATCAAAACGGTCCCCCCCGAGTCCCAATGCTCAATGACAGGGAAGTATTGTATGAGTAAAAGATAATTAGCAGTGAGTTGCATACTGCAAGGGGGTCGTAGGCAGAGATCAATAAAATTACGTGTTTAGAATGGAACTCGTTAGAATTGCCCGATGGCCATGTTCACTGGGGGATTCTTAAAACTGAACGCAGGAAAGTAACATTTTCAAACTCCAGTTTTCAAAACGTTCTGGAATGATCACAGCATCTAGTAGCCATAGGTGAGATGTCATATTTCTTTCCTGGTTCAGTGTGTTTCAGGGTGCTCTTAAGCTCTGCCTTCATCCTGTCTGAGAGCAAGTCATACACCCAGAAAATATATGTGTCTATCTTCCTCACATGTTTATAAAAACAAAAATGAGAGCCACTCTTACAATGAACATTATGGACACACCTGCAAATAAGAAAAAAATCCCTGTTTTAATTTTGCCATTTGTGCCAGTATTTAGCAAATCCACATCCAGTTTCCCACCCTCCTTCCGTATCTTTTCCCTCTCCTTTCATTTTCAGATACTCTAAAGCATATACAACTATAAAGTTAAAACAAGGCTAAATTACATCTTTTTAAAAAACCCAGAAACATCTTCATATCAACCTTCTTATAGGTCAGTTACATTGAGTTTACCTCTTTTGGGCACTGATTTTGGCAGGAACTCAGTTCATCTTTTTCTTTTAAATCAGCACAAGTGATTTTTCTGAAGAAATAAAATAAAGAATAGAAAAGATGACAATTTTGAAAAAAACCCAAAATAAACAGATTAAGCTACTCATGGATTTTGGCCACATTTCAAGCTATTATTCCTCTGCTGAAACCAAAAGAAAACAGAGAGATAAACATAAAAAGACAGAAGGGGTTTAAAAATATAGACCTGAACTGAGAAACACTAACTAATGGAGCTTACATTCATCTCAGCTGATACCTTATGTCACAAAGCGCTATAAGAAACCAACACCAACAATCCCTCCACTGAAAAGCTGTCCTTCCTAAAGAATTTTTGCCATGTTCATTTCTAACAATTCAGGAAAAAAGGAAGAAGATGGAAAGAGAGAAAACATTGCACAGTGACACTTCAAATTTGGGCTGTCTTTTTAAAGTACATACATGCATTCTATGTAGAGGCTTGTGAGTCTGCAGTGACACTTCATCCGGACCATTTGGGTACATGGTGAGCATTCTCCGGGGTGGCAGGGCAGAGGACATGAATGAGGACATCCAGGTGGCCGTGGCTTGGAACATTCTTCTTCACACTGCAAGCACTCTGGACCTGCCTAACAATACAGCCATATGCCAAGATGACACTGGGAATTATTAGCATTTTTACAAAATCCTTTTGTTTAAAAACTTTGTATTTAAAGACAAAATCAGTGGTTTGATTTTGGCATTTTGCTCTCTTCATATGGCTCCTAATAGTACTGGTTTGAGACTAGCAGGTATCGTGAGCAAAAGCCCCTCTAATGTTTCCCTTTTCATCCCTCCCCACTGAAGCTCCTAAGAAGGCTTCCCAAGCCACTGAAAAGATGCTAAAGAGCAAAGAAAATCCTCTTTGCAGAAATTATATGCTTTTGTTACTAACATTAACATAAAGCATTATTGTATTTTTTTATGTATGATGCCACTTTTTTTCCTAAAATCATTACACTAAAAGTTGAGGGGCATCTTTTACATGGACATAAGCTGAGATAGCTGAGGAGAGAACAAAATGGCCCGTACCTTGCCTCTGTAAACAGGCTTCCTTTAGTCACAAGGGTTAGCTTCCTCCAGTCAGGAGACTTAGCTTCCTCCAGTCACGAGCCTTATAGAACTGACATCAGCTGATGCTGAATAAAACTGGAACACACCTCATTGGAGGTGGAGCCTATAGGCTCACGTTCAACAGGAACTTGTAATGTCCAATGTTCTGAGCCCAGAGGCTGAATATTCAAAGCTAAGTTTTCTTAATTTGGGGGTTAGAAAAGTGTGTGTGGGGGTGTCTTATAAATTGGGGTATGTTATAAATGGAAAAATATAGTAATATTAAAATTTTAAAAATCCTATGACAATTTTTCAAGACTCACACACACCTACTTAGTAACAATAACACATCATAATGTTTTAACCACCTTGGCTTAACAGGTTTTCATAAAAATCCTATAACATTCCTAAGAATACAGAAAATATGTGGTAAATAAAGGACACCAAGAAGTGATAACAGATAATAATTCTTGCTAATAATCTTATGTGACATTGCCTATGGATTTGGAAAGGAAGCAGATTTCCCAAATTCTCAGCCAATGGTTTCTATTTATGTGGGAGATTCTCTAGATACTCAGAAGTATATACCTTTGTAAAGCAAATATTTTAAAAAGCTCAAAAAGGGACTGTGACATTTCTGATTTAAACGATGTTCAAATCAAAGGAGCACAGAATAAGAAGAAATACTACAGCAATTTGTCACACTATTTACAGTTGTGACACACAAGTTAAAAAAACACAAACCCAACTTTGTCCTTATGCTACCCTCACTCCAGCTATGATAATAAAGCAATCAGGTTTAGGGATGGCGACCAGTCTCCAGCTCTTTAACACTATATGGCACAGTGATAAAGAAAAAGGGCATCTCATCAAGTCCAGGTAATACTGCAAGGCACTAGTCTGAGGCTAGCTGATGTCTGAAACAAGAACATATGGATGAGGAGCAAAATTTTGTTGCAGGTCCCTATTTAAATTACCTTCAAAGGTCACACTAGTCTCATAACAGAAATCTGTATACAGTAGCTCAAAATGTGGACTCATAGAAACAGTTTTGAAAATCTTGTATACAACTGAGTTACCTTACTTAGCTTTTTGGTGAGGGAAGGCAAACCAGAAGATAAATACTCTAAGGACAGGCTTCTGATTGTTAGATACAGTAATGGGTACATTAATGAGTGTCCCAGATGAAAACTTATTTTGATTAAAAGGTATAAGAAATGAGAGTATAAAATTAGTAAACAATTATCTTTGGGTACATACAGAGCAGCTTTAGCACTTACACACAAATGCAAGAAAACACTGCATTGCTTTGTTGCAGTTATCTTGTTAGCAAGCTCTGAAAAGCATAAAATTAGTAAACAATTATCTTTGGGTACATACAGAGCAGCTTTAGCACTTACACACAAATGCAAGAAAACACTGCATTGCTTTGTTGGAATTATTTTGTTAGAAAGCTCTGAAAAGAATCTTTCAAAGGACAGATCACTATTTAAAGCACTACTCCAAAAGAGTCACTTTAAATATGTGATCTTCTTCCCAGACTGGCTCCATCTCCAACAATCCCCTATTCACTCCCACTTCCACTGTCTGAAAGTACAGTGGGGTCTTGACTTGAGAACTTAATCTGTATTGGAAGGCGGTTCTCAAGTCAAAAAGTTCTCAGGTCAAATCTGCATTTCCCATAGGAATGCATTGAGAACCATTTGATCCGTATCTGCTCTTTTCCGTCCATAGAAACTAAAGGGAAGCTGCTATTCTGCCTTCGACCACTAGAGGGGGATATTTCGTTTCTTTTTTTCTTAGGTCAAGAAAGGTTCAGGGAAGGCAGGGAAAATACGGTCTAGGCAGTACAGTACCAGGCAGTCCGAAGACTGTCTCCCAATCCACTCTCTAAACGCTGGGAGGAGTGAGGAAGCAGACAGGCACCCGTTTCACTTGCCAACAGTTAACTGAAAGTTCAAATTTTGCATTTTCCCTGCCTCCCACATGGTTTTTTCAGTTCTTAACTCAAATCTAAGTATGTAAGTCAAGTCAATATTTTCCTATGAGAGCGGTTCTTAAGTCAAAATGTTCTTAACTCGAGCCGTTCTTAAGTCAAGACCCCACTGTACATGCTTTCAGAGAGAGATAAGGACTTGCTTTTGTCTGAAAATCATTTTTTCCCCAGAAACCTGTAAAGGAACAAGAGCTGTGATCGCAACTCTCAAGGAATCTTATCCGTGTATTTCCCTAATATTCATTTCCCCGCTACTCACACTGCAAACTGATATATGTTTATATTCTGATTTTACTTAATATGGCATTCTGTGACAAAGGCTCTTACAACTCAACTTCTTAAAATCATTAACATTTCTTTTTTTATTATTCATTTTCCATTAGGTAAGGGTAGATTATAGGGAAGGGGATTTGGATCAGGGTATTGGGGTAAATTAAAAAAAAATAAAGAATGTGATAGAGAACAGTATAGATCATTATTGCATTTGTCAATACATTTTCTTACTAAGCTTACTTTTTTTCTAAATCTTTAAAATCTAAAATTATATCTTATATTTTCTTTCTCATAATTTTAACCCATTCATGTTCTCATCTCTCATCCAATTATACAAAGGTTCCCACTTCTTTCTAGCCTCAGCAATTTCTTTGTCTTTTAATACATCAGTTAAAATATCCATCTCTGCTGCTTCAAAAAAAATTCTATTAACTCCTGGGTTGTTGGAGTCTCCTCTTTTTTCCAGTCTTTGGCATATAAAATTCTTGCTGCTATAGTTACATGGATGATCAAATAGTTTTTTTTCCTTTTTCTATCGAATCTGGTATTATATTCAACAAAAACAATTCAGGTTCATATGGAATTATAGAGGATAATATTTTTGTAGAAACTCATGGACTGCTTTCCAAAAGCTCTTAGCTTCCCTACAAGTCCACCACATACAATAAAAACGACCTTCTTTTAATTTGCATTTCCAAGATTTGTTAGAGGTACTTTGATACATTTTTGATAATTTTTCAGGTGTCGTGTACTATGTATAGAACAGCTTATACATATTTTCTTTCTAATTAATTGCTTTTGTTAGCTTTATATTAACTTACAATATTTGTGACCATGACTTTAAGTTAACATTGTGGCCCACATTTTAGGCCCATTTTATCATACACCCTTTAACTATTTCATCTTGCGTTTTTAATTAAAGTAGATAATTATACAACATTTTAATCAGCTTTTCTTTTCCATTCAGAAATATCTTATCTAGTGGTGTCTGTTCCTTACAAAAGCCTACTGCTTTATCTCTTGTATATCTTAAATCTGTGTTTTTGTCCACAAATCAAGTATTGTACCTTGTTATTCTAGTTCTTCCCTTGATTTCATACTTAAATCCTCTTTTAATAAATCTCTATAACTCAAGAGTTTCTTTCCATTAATATTGGTTGTGTAAATGCTTCCATTGGTGAGACCTCAATCATTAACACTTCCTATTGTAGTACAACCATAAAGAGTCATAATATAGTTTTATATGATTCATGAATCTATTTTTTACAAAATTATGTTCCAAATATTTCCAAAGGCATTGACAGTTGGTGTTTCAGTTTTTCAAAGTTCAGACATAAGAGAGTGTCTGATGAAATAGACTTGTCGTGAAAGTTCACATTAAAACATAACAGTCTTTAAGGTGCAACCAAATTTTTGCCTTTTTATTTGTTCTTTTATTTTTATTTTTTAAGCTATAATGCTTGCACAGACTAACATGGCTACCTCTTCTACAAATTCTAAAGAAACGTCTTGAGTTCTTTAGAGGAACGACTGGATGTAAGTTCCAAATTCAGTTTTTAAAGTATAGTTTTAAACCTATCACCATAATCTAACAATAAGCTGAATAAGGTAAACCCTATTCAAATGTTCTGAACAAAGTTAATTTTAAACATGAGAGAGGAGGAGAGTACTAGCTCCATCCCCTATCTCCACAAGGAGAGGGAGTACAGTGGTGCCTCGCTAGACAATGATAATCTGTTCCACTGAAATTGCTGTTTAGCGAAATCATTGTCTGGCAAATGCATTTCCCTATTGGAATGCATTGAAACCTGTTAAATGCGTTCCAATGGGGAAGAATCATCATTGTCTAGCAAAGATCGGCCATAGGAAAGCTGCTTTGTGAACCGCCAATCAGCTGTTTAAATCGCTGTCAAAATAGTTGTCTAGCGAAAATTGGTTTGCGAAGCAGGGACCAAACATTGTCCAGCGAAATTCCCCCATAGGAATCACTGCTTTGCAAATCGCTATAGCGATAGCAAAAAGTCAATGTCTAGTGAAAAAACTGTCATGCGGGGTAACTGTCTAGCGAGGCACCACTGTATGCGAAGAGGTACGCTGCAGTCTCTCCATGGCACTGGGTATCCTGAAAGAGTAAGGTTATCAATTGTATGGAGAAGTTCTGTGTATGGCAGACAGTCTCATCTTCAGACTGTTGTTCTCTTTGAACGGTAACAAAAGGTTTGAAATGATTTTCCTTCTCAAATTTGAAATGACTGGAAAAAAAAACAGTTCAAAAATAGGCCTCTTGTAACAGAAAGTCAGATGGTGAACACCAATAAAACTGTAGCCAAAATGGAGCTGCCAAGAAATGAGAGGAAGGTATCAGCATGCTGATTTAAAACAGAGAAGACATCTAAATTCTTAAGAATAAAAATATATTAAAGAAAATTATTTTCTTAGCCTCTAAACATATTAAGAACCCACATAGAAAAATGTGTAATTCTCATCCAGCCAAGCCAGTCTTGTGGAACTTTGAATCTATGGAAGGAAATCCATGATGACTCATTGGTACCTCATATGTGCAGCGTGCAGAGTGTAGAGCAGACCTGGGCAAAGTGCGGCCCACGGACCACATACGGCCCGCAAGCCGCTCCTGTCCGGCCTGTGGACAGTTTTGAACATCAAAACCATTTATATCTTTTTGTCTAAAGTTGATCAGTTGCTTATCTTTAACATACCACAAAAAAACTCTTTAGTATTTGTGAAGATTAACAAGTTTAAAATAAAAACAATCAACATCATGGTTAAGTAAAGTTGGTTCGGCCCCCGAACACAGTTCAGATTTTTCATGTGCCCCCCCTATAGAAATTAATTGCCCACCCCTGGTGTAGAGTTGAATGCTTAAGTGTTTATCTCCCTATAGTTACAATTATTTCAGATGTTTACTTTTTCTTTGCAACTGTAAATAACCTATTTTTCAGGACTTAAAGTTATAAGGGTCTGATGCACAAAAGAAAAATCGCAGTAGGAAATTCTACTGTCCCTGCACTTTATTTAAATCTAAGGGCTTGTAACTCAGAATCTAGCAGGCTGCCATTATCTTGCAAACTCTGGAGGAATAAAAGTTTGTAACATAAAGCATATGATTCATCCAGGTCCTTGAAAACCAGAGTTTTGGAAAATTAGAAAGTGAGAATAATGTAGCTACAGACAGTGCAAGTCAAAATACCTGCATTCTTTGTTTGTGCTTTGTTATTTGTAAAATGAGTTCAACTGTCAAGAACACTATGGTAACAGTGACCTTGCTCAGCTGGAAGCTGGCTAATTGCTTTCCCATTTAGTAAATTATTGTTCAAGCTTCATTTCTAGAAGAACTTTCATTTTCATACTTTTTCTAAACCCTCATAATTATTTTACCACCTTATACACACAAAATTTCACATCTTGACAAAGAGCAAATTTTCCCCTAAATAAGGAGTGTTGAACATGCACATAATGTACTGGCTGTCTGATAGAAAACCATGTGTACCACCTCACAGGAAAGGTGGTATACAAACTGGACAAAAAATAAAAAAAAAAGACCAAAAAAAAAAAAAAACCTCGGAAACTACAACTTATAAAAGCCAGAAGAAAATGGCATTGCCTACTTGTGCATATCATGGACCAAAGTACTCCTCTTAGGAGGCAAGAACAAACTGCAACATTTCGCTGCAAATCCCATTTTGTTTTTTTAATTCACTACTTGAATTAGTCTGCATCAAATTCCTAAAAAATAATTAGAATACAAGCCGACACAAGATAAAGACTAAGCAAGGAATGTTTAATGCCACCAAATGCCAATACAGTATTAAAAAGGTTAAAACAAACAAAGTTGTTATGCAATTTTAACTATGGCATTTGAGAACAAAGCAAGCACTCCTTTATTGCTTTCCAACTACAAAGTGCTAAGCAAACATTACTTTCATGGTGCCACTGTTCACTGAATGCAAAATCTCCATTTTAAGAGGTATTATGTTTTTAGTTTCTCTACCATTACAAGCCATGAATTACAGTGTAAACACATGTTCTTCAACAATACAGTATTATCTTCTCATTTTGAGATGTGTAGCAACTTCTGAATAATAAATAATTTTCAGGGCAGTGATCTGTTCTCAAATCAGCTACACTATCAGCTAGTTCAATCAACTACTTCAATGTAATTCTATTATTTTCTTCCTGTCTCTCTCTCTCTCACACACACACACCATAGTTTTGGACAATCTTTAAAGGTTAAATATCTTTATTTGTGTCTACTGTAACTAGGTTTAAAATTATTTTAATGGGGAATTTACTTAGCAAATTCTAGCCTACTTTGTTAGACTGTCTAGGAAACAAGTGCCTTTTCCATGAGTGACTAGCATTTAAAAAAATCTCATTAGGGAATGACAATTATTTAGAGACACATATACATAAAAGAAGCAAAACTGCTGTTGGCTTTCATGCTTAAACCAGGGTTGCCAAAATTCTGTCCAATTTCCCACCCCGCCTTCCTAGCTTTAGCTTGAACTGCTGTTGATTATAATTTTGAGTTTCAAGTGTTTATTTGGCTGAAAACAAATTTCTGATTTGGGTAAATATGAAAAAGAAAACCAAATTGTCGTAATACTGATTTCGCCTCCTTCGCAACAACAATTCTTAAGGAGGCTGACTGAGGTGCTGCCACTGTATTCGCCTGAGCAAGGACACTTCCAAAGCTGATAGCACCTGAGCAAGAAAAATGTATTTATGATGCTCTTTACAACAGACATCTGAGCTATCCAGACTCTTGCCCATGCTTATTTGTCCCTCACAATACATTAGTAGCAGCATCCTGGGATAGAAGCATCCTACAGTTCCCATGGGATTGGGAAGAGGATGCAACAGCAGAGAGAGGGCACTGTCTTCCCACAGCACAGCCAGCAGCAGCCATCCTTCCAGCTGACTTGTTGTAACCAGCATCACAAGAATCAGTACTAAAGGTATTAACATCATAAACACTGCAAGGGTTGCTGAGCAAGAACCATCTTCTGGGATTTAGACTTTGGTTGAAACAGTGAACTACTGATGATCCATGAGACAATCCTTTGGCCAGGATGAGGCTGTCACAAAGGTCATCTGTTACCTGAACGAGTCAGCAGAAGACTTGTATACTAACCCAAGGGAATTCTAGACAGCTCACAGATAGCTCTCTCCTACTTTCTTCCCCCCCTGCTCCTAATGGAGCAGGTCTTCTCCATGGTGGGTGAACATAACTAACACCCCATCACTTCTGCCTGGACCTCCATTTGATGGAGCAGTATGCTATCTCCTATTGCTGGAAATCCCCAAAATGATCAGCAGCAGCCACGACTGATCTTCTGAAGAAACACTGCTGAGAGATTGCTTGCTGTTTCCCACCAGCTCCTGTGATTTTCCTGGGCACTTATGCCTCCTCCTGCATAACTCTTTGATTTACCAGCACATCGCTGCTGCTTTTGCTGCACTCACGTACGTATGCCATGATTAAACTGAAGGGCAACAAGGTTAACGGTGCCTGCTATCTTTTGCACCTGCCTGCCAGTCTGTCCAGGCAAATGCCAGCTTATTTAGCTGCCTGCCTCATGCCCTGCTCTTTGGTTTGCTGCCACTGTCATTTGTGCCTTATATGCCAGGCCAAAACAACTTTTAAAGAAAAATTATTATTAAAATTGAATGAGGAAAATCAGAAAGATGCCTGCCACCTACTGTGTCTCTGTTCCAGCCTGTCTCCCACTTGCCAGTTTCTCTGCCCACATTCCTGTTTGATCACTTCCAGTCTGGCACAGTTCTCAGAGAAGACCTTTTGCTTCTTCTGTAGGTATCACCCTCCCAAAAATTTAGAATTTGAATCATGTTCTCTAAAGCAGCCATTCTCAACAGGGGCCTGAAGCATCTGAAGAGAGCCACAGACTAAAAACTATTCTCCACACACCACCCTTATAAGGTTCATTGTGTGATTTATATAATCCTGATTTGGCCTATACGTCTTTCAAAAAAAGGTTGAGAATGGCTGCTCTAAAGCCTGTAAGATGTGACGACCCTTCTGGATGAGACTGAGAGGGATTCTAGTTCACCCTTCTGTTCTAACTCTAACAGTGGTGAGTCAAAAATCCAATGAGAAATCACGCAGCAGGTCATGAGTGAAACAGCACCGCACATGTCATGTTTCTTAGCAAGTGGCTTCTGTTGGTCCTCCATACTTCAGCTGTATTTTGCAGAGACTAAATTCTGGTACACCACTATGTCATTTGAAATCATAAGTCCCCATGATCAGGAAGTGGAGGGTTGATGACAGACAGAGCAAAGACTGAAACCTTTTGTATTTCAAAACATTGGTGGGGCAAACACAAATATATGGCCTGTTCTCCATATGCAGTCTTTTAGCAGCTGGTTTGGAGAGTAGCAAAAGGATGATAGACAGACCAAAGTGGAAAAACTCTACATTTGGAAATGTGGATGATGCAATATGGAGAATAAACGTTTACTATAACCTTTCTGGTTTCCGCCAAAACTAAGATCAGAAGTGATTCAGCTGTAGTATCAAATATGTCTTTCCTCTATTTTAGAACATGCACAGAATATCCTAAAAGTTCCCCTCTAGTATTTTGCAAAAAGTGTTTTTATCCTAAAAGCAGAAAGATTTCTGCTCATGTTTCATTTTAGAAAGGTATTCTTTCAACATGTGTTTTGCAGTTTCTTCAACAGTTTGATCAACAGTAAAGTTTTCTTGCACACTACATATTGCCTAATGGAGAATGATCTTTCCTATACAGCATGGAAAGGGGCAGTAACAAGTGGGTGAAGCATCCCTTATAATCCTCTATTCTTTCTCACAGATGTTTGCAATTTAATGGAAAAAGTCATATTTATTTGAACAATTCATTTAAAAAAATTTTTTTTCTAATTTTATCATGTTTTTGAGAACAAGATGTTTTTACTCAACTGTACAAATACTTACACTTACCTTTTGAATGTCACCATTGCTAGCTGTTTCAGTAACTGTATGACATTCTTTCATGCAAGTATGGTTCTGACAATCAAGCAGCCTTCCACAAACTCTTTTACAGGAGTACGGTGCTGCAGCATGACATGGCAAGGGACTCACCTGAAAGATTAAAAAAGCTGCTTTGAGACCAATGTAGATAATTTCTAACTCTTTACCTTCCATAAAATAAGAACTTAAAACATTTTACTTAATCTTTACTTTCTTAACTGTAAATACGCTCTAGATGAAAACTACAGTAGTACCTTGGTTTATGAATGCCTTGGTCAATGTAATTTTTGGTTTACAAACGAAAATCCATTGAAAATAATGTCACGGTTTTTGTGTTTTTTTCTGGGGTTTTTTCGGTTTGCAAAGAACGTTTCCCCAGGATGCATTGTGCAGTTTTTTTTTTTCAGTTTGCAAAGAAAGTTTCCCCAGAATGCATTGTGCCTGGAGGTCTATAGTGCTGCCCCCATTCCTATGGCAACCCAGTCTATGGTTTGTTTGTTTTTGTTTTTTTGCTTTACATAACATCCCATAGAAGTTTATGATATTTTTTGCTTTACGTAACATCCCGTAGAATGCATTAAATTTGCAAACTGAGGTTCTACTATATAGCAATTTTGTTTTTAATAAGTTACTGAAACATAATGATAAACTGGACAAGCTACCTTAAAGCACATTCTATGTGTTTCCCCCAAATTAGGAGATGAAGTACAGTTGTACCTACCGGGACACATGATCAGGAAATGCACAGAACATGACATTGAAGCAATAATTACAGTGACTGGGCTCCCCAAAGATTTTCTAAAGTGAGACAGATAAAATTTCTGAAGAAGCAATGCATGAGAGACTATGATGATACAGCAGGTATGAAATTTGTTATCTGATTTTAAAAAATTAAATATGTAGTTGGTAACCTACTCGTCTCTGCTGATGTACAATGTAGAAGAAGCTGGTGCAGCCCCAGAGGGTTTTCAGAAAATTAAAATAGTCCACTGAGAACTGGTGGTGCTCACCCCTGCTTTAGCTCTACAGTGAACTAGAAGAAGAGCATTCTTTAGGACACATCTGGAGCACTGGAGCAGACAGCAGCTTTGGGTCTACAGCCCCTAACACTCCAGGAGCATTTGAAACCTTGTACCTACATGTCTTCACCCAACGTATTTACACCATCTGGATATTAATAAATACATGCAAAGGGTAAATATTTCAATACAAATTTAATTCTGTGGGCAGTGGATAAGAAAATATTAAAGAATTATTAAATTGAGCTTCCTTAATAGTGTTGAGGAGTCTAGGGACAGGCAAATCAAGCCAAGAAAATAACTCTCACTCTCCTGCTTAAAAATTCATTGTAATTAGACAACTATCTTACTAAAACCTTGCAGTATTTAATTCACATACTACAGTAGTCACAATCTGCTTTCTAGGTGCAGACCCTTTCAACAGAAGCAGAAATAGCAAAAACGTAAGCAATTTGGCTATGTTAGAATTTCTGCTGTGAGCATCTAGCATTAGATCCACGAAAAACATCATGTAATGAATGCTTTGAAGTTCCAAAATCTTCTACTTAACTACAACTCTTTAAAAAAAACTTAGCAAAAGTAAACAATTTCACAAACCCGTAACATCTTGGTAACTTAAGCAATGACAATAAGAAGGGAAACAGATGAACAGACTGAAAATCACTTCCAAAAAATTTAAAGTATGAGGGAAGAGTAACCATGCTGTCTACAGAAATATGGCAGACAAAAACAATACAATCAGATAATACACTCTCCAATTTAAAAGGCTGTTTCTCTCATTCAAGAGAAAGGCTGACTTGCAATTAATTGTGACAATGAATCTGCCACTAGAAAGTGAACAATAATAAAACTCTTGGGACAAGTTTTAAAAAGAAGCAGAACAGAGGTGAATATATTGCAGCAAACAAATGACACTACTCTGAATACACAGATATCTAATTTCAGGAGCTAATCAGGATCTAGCCTGGTTAGTACATGGATGGAAAACAAAAAGCAAATGCCAGATTATGCCCCTGTAGACACCCTAGAGTTGCTGCCAGTCAGAGCTGACTATACCGGGTTAAATGGATCAGTGATTTGTCTCAGAATGAGGCCACTTCTTATGTTCTTAAAATATGAAAAGGGCAATTTTACACTCTAAAATTTTGGTTTGCCAAGAAACACAACCTACATTTTGGTTTTACAAGAAGAAATGTGAATCACTAAGTGAATGACTATTTCAAGAATGAAGCTTTTCCCTCAATAGCAGGGTATAAGAACAACACAGGAAACAGCACATTAAGAGATTTTGCATAAATCTTTGTGGACTAAGGCCCACTTCTTTAAAGGTGCACACAAAAAACCTCTGATGAAGTGGCCAAATACAGAAGACCCCTGCACTTCTGATTTAACTGGTTCTCAACGTTGAATCCTACTTTTCCATTAGGATCAATATTAAAATGAACACTTGCTTCCCTGACAATGCTCAAGCCTCAATTCCAGTCTCCTCTTCATTCCTCCTCCATCCTCTGCCACCTGGCTTGCTCTTTAGGACCTCCTGTGTTGTCCTCTGTCCTCTCCCATCCATCCTCAAATGTTTTGCTTGCTTCAGCTGGCCTGCTCAGCTGCCCTTTTCCAGATTGCTCCCTCTCTCCCACTCCGTTACTTTGGTCCTATTTCTTCTACTGTTTCACTGCTTGGCATCAGCATGCTACTCAGAGGCTGTACAAAACTGAGTTCTGGATGTTAGCGAGAGGCACTGGGTAACACTGGAGTGGTTGCAAAAGTAGGAGTCATAAAGCAAGCCACCCTCAAATTAGGGGTCTATTTCAAAACCTCAGCATTTTATTGTCCTGAGGCATAACCTGTAGTCTGGACAAGAAGCTACCATTAGGACAGAATATCATCTCCTATATGCAAAGGTATCAGACAAGGGTGAATTTTATCCTGTCATATGTTCAATCTTTACACAGAACATATACAGAAGACTGGACTAAACTCAGATGAAGGAGTGAAAATCAGTGGAAGAAACATCTGGAACATATCATACAGAAGACTGGACTAAACTCAGATGGAGTGAAAATCAGTGGAAGAAACATCATTTTCGAGATCACTCATTCATAGCATCGCCATAATCTGGTAGTGACACAAGCTCTTTTTTATTTTTGCTGCAATAAATTAACAGTTACTTTCTGAAAATTATTAGGGTGTAGTTATCAAGTTCAACAGTGTGAACTTTAAAAAAGTCATAGTTTACAAGTGGGACACAAAATGGCTGAGGATGTGAGAATCACAAAAATGGGTTAGTGTTTGCCAGAACACTGCTAATTACACGGAATGAACAATGTGCAATTTCCCCCAAGAAAAGCGGCTTCACCTAATGATGTAAAACATGTAATGTGCATCTTGTTGCATATTTTCTTGCAAATTTCCTGCCAGCTAAGAGAAGCTCCCAAACTAACTATCAGCATGATATACATTTTATAAGACCAGTGCTTTTGGCAGCAGCCACACACACTGGCTACAAAAACATACCAGAGACGGCATACAGGAACATGAAGTCAGAAATTTAAATTGAAACATCACTCAGAATAACTCTGAAACCAAAGAACAAAAGCCTGGCGCTCTGTAAGCAGCAGCAGGTTAACAAGGATAATCCCATCATAATGAGAAAGCAGCATCAAAATTGACTTCTACTGAAAAACAGCCTGACGTTGACATTTGTGTGCCAGCCAATCAGTTCTGAAGATATGGAAATAATGGCATTTCAGGCAGATAGTCCAACATAAGCTTTAAAGGGGCTAAATTAAGCAAACTGGACAAAATGCTATTGAACTGTACATCTAAAAAGACACAAGAATCTTTTGCTACTTGTAACCTATGAGTGCAGCCAACACCAAGATTCCCTCGTCTGTACAAAAACAAAAAGGCAATGTAAAAAGTAGAGAACAAGGAAAAGAAGGCCAAGGAGATGAAAATAATGATGCCTGTGCAGAAAAGATAGATATTGATTTTTTTAATCAAGAGTGGGCAATTACCGGAGGTCTGGGTTCTCTATACACCCACTCCTGGACTTTCTAGGGCAGGACTTATCACCCCCAGCCTGATTTTTTTAACATTAATTGGGAGGTGGTTTTATTGGAAAAAAAAACTCTTTGCAGATTCTACTGGCCAAAAGTTTAGGTCACTAGGCTCCCCTCAAAATATAACAAGATATTTTGGACTACAACTCCAGTGAAACCCAGCAAGAATAAATAACAGCCAGGACCTATGAAAGCCATCATGCAAGTGTGGGCAAATTTAGCAGGCCCAAGGGTGAACTTTCTGCCCCTGGGATCTTATGAGGACCATACAAACCACTAAAAAGTGCAGGACTGGGTGGGTAATTGAAATGAAAACAACAGAAATACCACTTTCAGTTTTGGGGGAAAAAAAGTAATCTATTGTTGTATTAAACACAACAGAAGCCTGGAGTTGTGAACTATTTATTTTATTTATTTATTTATTTATTTAATTTATATGCCGCCCACTCTAACCAGAGGTCTTTAAACTATGTATCATAACTGGGTATTTAAACTGGGTATCATAACTGGGTATTTAAACTATGTATCATAACTGGTGAGTAACAACTTATCTTTCTTTTCTTTTGGAGGGGGGCTAGGAAACCAATTTTTCAGGGGGCTTTGATTTGCCAAATTCACTTTGGGGATTGCATGTCCATGTGGCTCATTTTGTCAACTCCTGCTTTAGATAAAAACATTCTGAAAGTACTTGGTTGCCTATGCCCATAGGGCAACAAAGGTTCAATTGACCAAAATACTATGCAATGGAATGTAACCACTGAGTATCATCCCCAGAAGATTCCAGGGGCAGTAGTGCAGTCAAGCCTCTGCTTATGACCTGAGTTTGATCCCAATGGGTTAAGGTAAAGATAAAGGTTCCCCTTGACAATTTTTGTCCAGTCGTGTTCAACTCTGGGGGGCGGTGCTCATCCCCGTTTCCAAGCCATAGAGCCACAGAGCCAGCGGTTCTCCAAAGACAATCTTCCGTGGTCACATGGCCAGTGCAACTTAAACACAGAATGCTGTTACCTTCCCACTGAGGTGGTCCCTA